GGATTCCATGACATTCTGGCACTGATGGGGATGAAAATAACCCAATGGCTTAGCCAAGAAGGGGACACAAACCATTAAAACCTCTAGAAATAGAGTTCCTTTCTATAGTGACAAAATAGTTTTAAACACACACACACACAAGTAAGATATAAAAAAAATTAAGTCAATTCCTACTTAGATCAACAAAGAAAAATTTTATTTTAGCTATTTTTTGTTAAATAGTTACAATTATTATAAATAAGTATATACATAGGACAGAATCACAACATTAAGTGGTCATAATTCTTTATTAATTATCATTTAAGTATCGTATTGTCTTCCAAAACAATCGTGTCTATAAAATTTCAGTTCCACTGAATGCTTTAAAACGTGAAAAAAAAACCTTTTCAAGTTTTGACACAAGTCGCAAAAACGGTCGCTAAGTCGCCAAAAATGATGCCAACGGGGCCGCAATTTTCTATACACTATTGTTTTGCGTAAAAATACGATCATTTAATTATAATTAATTAAAATTAATTGACTGAAAATAAGTATTTAAAGAATTACAGATACAGGCACGTTGGTTTCATTTTAGCGACTTGGGTCAAAACTTTAAGATTATTTTTCTCACGTTTTAAAGCATTCAGTCGAACTGAAATTTTATAGACACGATTGTTTTGGATGACAATACGATACTTTAATGATAATTGATAAAAATTAATTACCACTTAATGTTGTGATTCTGTCCTTTGTATATACATATTTATATTAATTGTAACTTTTTAATAAAAAGTAGCTAAAATAAAATTTTTCTTTGTTGATCTAAGTAAGAATTGACTTAAAAATTTTCTTTTTATATTACTTGTTTTTTTATCTTAACATATAATACAATTTTCAAATACACACGAGATAGAATCTTATGAACCTTTAGATTGCTGATTTTCTCTCGTCTATCCATTTTTTTCCGATTCCCTCATTTTCCTGCTCAATAACCAATTCTTTCATGGAACAGCACCCTCTTTTCATCAATCAGGTCATTTTTGCATGCTAATTCCTTACATGTGAACACCCACAATACTAACACGGGCTTTCTTATCTTGAGAGAAAAAGGCCCTCAGGATGGAACTGAAAATCAATGAGAATAAGACATGCCTCGCACTGAATCATGTTTTAACGATTCCCATTTTCAAATGGAAGAATATAGTTTTGAAGTTGTTGACAGTTTCACACATTTAGATTTGGAAATTAACAATAGAAACGATTGTACTACTGAAATCCAAAAGAGAATTACTATGGTTAATAGAATACGAAAATATATGAAATCAAATTTAATAAAAAGAAACACACACACACAAAAAAAAGGTTCTATAGTATAAAAGTTTTTTAAGATCAGTATTAACTTATGCAAGTGAAACTTGATCCATGTCTCGAACTGATGAGAACTTGATAAGTATCTAAAAAAGGAAGGTTTTAAGATTCCTTTTTGAAAGAATTCAGGAAAATAGAACATGGCGATGAAGATTAAATTTAGAGCTCTATCTATCATTTAAAGAGTCTGACATTGTTAACTTCATCAAAATACAACAAATTAAATGGGCACGACGTGTTATCAGAATGAGCACCACTAAAAAAAGTCTTCAATGCTCAACCAAATGGCACACGAAGAAAGGGCAGGCCAAATCTTAGATGGATTGATAGCCTAGAAAAAGAACTCCTAGTTTTGAGAACTAGGCACTGGAGAACACTAGCAGGAAGAAGGCTGGCCTGGAAAAGGCTTCTTGAGAAGGCCAATGCTCACCCTGGGCTGTCGTGCTACTGAGGAAGGAAGCAGCGTCCTGTCTCCCTCAGTCAGATAATCTTTGCATGCTAAATCTGCCGAGGCTTAAAATCCTCACTTTGGAGTAATATGGAAGTTCAGAGAATAGAGTATCAGCACAGGTGTCATTTATCTTTTGGCTGAGGTTGTAAGGCATTTGCCCGTGGGTGATGCCCTACTCCCACGTTTTCCTCGTGACCTATAGGTGTGGAGTGAAAGAAGAACCAGGGGTTACCATAATCTTAATATATTTTTATTAAGATTTTAACTTAAACACTATACAATGATAATATTTATATCTTAACTTAGTGGATCTGAGGTGAAGAAATACACAATACGTACTACCAAATAAGCGCGACCCTCACCACTATATTTAACTTTACGGCCTTATCCTAATCTCAGTATATACACAGTTCCTAGTAGTTAATAGAACGGTCCTACCTCCATATCCTAGATAGCAGGAACTCTCTCGAATCCTAGATGTAGTTTCTTTATCTTGCATGGGATCGTATCCACCTTGACTTGAACGTACTGGCACGAATATCTGAACTCTTGAATGTCGAATAACTGCTTCCTTTAACTTTAACACTCTTAACCGCAGATTAGCATAATCACTTCCCAAAGACAGCCCCTCTTACTTTAAGCTTCTGCTATTTAAAAGGTTCTTAATTTGCATAATCACGCTTCGCTTTCCGATTTGGTTGGAAAGAATTTGCCTTTTCGACCCCAAAGAACTCAAGAGGAGTTTTTAGTAGAAAGCGCGACGAGCCCGTTACAAGGATCAAAATTATGAGTTCCATCACCCTTCTTTTTCGTATTACTTTAAAGATTCCATGTTAAAAAACAATCAAAAATCAAAATTGAAAACAATTAATTTCGTGTGAACCTTTCTTGCATTATTTTTTTAAAAAATCGAGATTGTTGAAAAAGAAATCAAAAGAGCATTATGTTTTGAAAATATTTTTAAAATCTGTATTGCTTCATTTATAAGAAAAGGGATAATACGACGTTTTGAAGATTGCCCATAACTGACATGCAAAAAAAATTAATACTTAGAGATTATTTTTAATATATTTTAAACGTATTCTTAATAATTTATTTTAGAAAAATCAGATATCTGAGGGTAGTGTTGGGATACATATTAAAAAGATAAATAAGAGAAAATTTTAATTTCTCTGAAATATAAGGAGTGATTGGAATTGGAAACGAAATATATTATTTTATAAATAACTCTGACCAACACATATCATAGGGAGGTAATGGCAAAAGAATTATGAGAACCATGAACTCAGACTTTTTAAATATTACCTTGAATTACATCAGTCCTTACTTTTTCCCCCCTAAGCCAAAATATATCTATATGCATGGTTAATAAACGAAGAGATAGGAATTAAGATACAATATCTGTGCTAACTTATTTGTTACGCTATAATAATTTATCAAAACCCGACCATAACATCAATGACCATCATTTCTCCAACAAGATTAACCAAACGATAAATTTGGTAATTTCGCCTCTTATCACCCTGGATGCTCTGACCCGTACCATCCCTCCAGGACATCTTATATCCCCACACTTCTGTCTCGCAATTTGTCCCACGATTTTAATGAAGGGCCAAGATTCGAATGAATGGCCTTGCCACTAAGAGAAAGAGGGGGATGCAGGTTACCATGGCAACTAAGACCTAGACGTCATTAAGCGAACGGGGCTTATCTAAATTAACATCTAAGGCAAGAGCTTAAACACTTTCTGGCTGCCGTCACGTTCGCACAGTTTGGACACAGTCGTTTGTCAACACATCTCAAAGCACGATTCTTCCTCGTATAAAGGGCAGAGGATTTTTTTGACCACCCCTTTTGATTGTCTCCCGGCTTATAGTGGTTCGGATGGGTAAAAGAAATTCGGGGCTGTTATTAATTACGTTATCTCGTCCAAAAGGTAATGAGTTTGGGTTGGAGATTAGTAAAACAATGAGTTGAAGTGTCTGTCTAATCCCCGAGCTGGTTGATATGGTTCGATTGTCTACGTGTAAAAAAATATTAGTAGTTGTAAATACAAAACTACAAGTATACATTCTATTTTTATTAATAAATCCTTGAAAACTGTATCAGTTTAAAAAAATAATTATATTAGAAATAAATTGCATATACACGGTTTTTAATAAAGCCTCTTAAAGGTTGAGTTCAACATACAAAAGAAACTTTTTTTGTGTTTTTAATTTTTTTATATAAATATTTTACTAAGTTTTTTGTCTAAGTTATCAAAAACACTTGTCTCTAATTTGTACTATGAAAGATTAAATAAATAAAAAGACTTAGAATATATTTGTTATACCAAAATAGTTGAAAATTATGCAACACTAAAACTCATCATATCAGCGTTAAATCTGCTTCTTACGAAAAATACTTAAATTAGCCTAATTAAAATGTCTCCCATAAAAAATTTTTAAAGTTTTAACTTAAAAGTCCTAGAATTTCTCGTGTTTCTTAACAAAATCTATATTCATAATAAATTAGTTTATTGAAACATGGCTATAATAATAGACAATGAGCGAATTTTTCAATAATGATATTCATTTATAATAATCTATATTCGTACTAAAATTTAAAAATCAACAATGAAAAATTGGGAACTTTGTACAATCTCTCACAAAATAGTTGGTTTGTAACTTCAGAAAATTTCCGCTGATTTGTTATGAGTACGCTAATGCCAAAGGCTTATTTTGCACGATTTCAATTGCGCCCAATAAGCATTTGGGGGCAAATCATTTTTATCGCAGGTGGTTGCCTAAGACGGAAAAAAAATGAGCTGCAAAGAATTTAAAAAAAAATGATTGAAACTTACTGAAAGCATGTAGTGAAGCTTAACGATGCATTCTCTTAATGCAGCAGGGGAAGTACAAACATTCGAGAAAAAAATTACAAAAGGGAAATAATAGGAAATATACTTCCACTTTCATGAAAAATGGTCTAGTAAGATTATTAAAAAAAAAAAGAAGTATCTGAGGAATTTTTAAAGAACAAGTTGAAATTTCAAAAAAAATAATCTAAAAAACAAAGGTTGCAGTAAAAAAAGTTTAAAATAAATAGTTTGAGGAAAGAAACAGAAAAGCAAGAAAGTAAGCAGTTAAAGTAGTGAGTGATTGCGGAATGTGAAAAAAAATAATGGAAACATTGAATAAAAGTAAAAGAATGGAGTCGCCCAGCCAGTAGGGTGGTTATGACCCTCGTCTTGTAATCGAGTGGACTCGGGTTCGAATCCCGAATAAGGCATGGATATATCTTCAGGAAAAGAAGTCAGAATTTCATCTGAAATGGATTCCCGTCTCGAATGGAAAGCAGCGCACCTCTTCTGTTCCATGCTGGGATCATCGTTTGTAATAAAAAGTCTATATTCTTCTTTATTGTATGTTTCTTGTCTTTCATATGTATCCCAGAATAAAACACAACTAAAAGAATGGAAATTCTCTCTTGCATTAAAAAATTCAAAAAATTTCATCAAAAGTAAATTAATATTCTAAAGAAAATATATGAACCACAATATCTGGATTTAAGAATATAGTAGCAACGCTTATGGTACATCAATCAAAGAATGACACGTTAACAAAATCCGTTTTTCACTGTGGGCTGTTGAAAAATTATTATCTTTTACAGCCCCCGACAGGCAAAAAGAATCTTCGAACAAAACACTTAAAGATATTTTACTGATAAAGGCTTCATCACCCAATCCTAAGCACTCGAAAAAAATAGCTAAAAACAGCAACATGCCAAACAGGGGATGACAAAGACGATCTCTCTTAACCATTGAATACACAAAACGATATTCATCCCTTTGTGTTATTACCGTAACCGTGTTCACGTCAACGCATAACCTATCACAAAAGAGAATCGCAACAGGTGAAGCAAATCGTTTCTCTCTCCCCATGAAGGAAGAGGGGAGGATTGTTAAGGAACTAGGAATCCCGCAGACGACAAAATAATCATCTCGAACCCGTCTATGAAGGAAGTATGGGGGTGACAGATGTCAAGTTTTCTCGTCTGCTCTCTTCTCAGAACGAAATAAGGGAGTTTCTATTTTGAGAATCGTTTACTTTTGAAAGCGAAGTAGCGAAAGAGAAAAATAGAGGAGTTTTGTGTGTAGATTTCTTTCAAAATGTTGTTTATTTGGTTCGTTTGATGAGTTGGAAAGTTAAGGAGAACTTTTTTGAAAGTTGGTTGTCGTTGTGATCTTTAAAATTCTGTTTTTATCTTTTGTTGAACTATCTGAACCATTATTGTATGCGATTTTTAAAAAAAAAATTAAATCTCTCTCTAACGATAATGTTCTACAAAATTATTGCAGATTATATCAATATTTTAGTATACATACTTTTATTTTGAGATGCGTTTTTCAATATTCCTACTACTATATAGTTCACTCTCTCTCCCCTATATATATCGTATTCAAATTTTTAAGCGTTAATAAAATATTTTCTTTTTATCCATTCAAGTTCAAATACATTTTGTTAAACTTGCAGTAGATGACACTTGATGTTAATACAATTTTTTCAAATATAAATTCATTAATTAAATTTAAAAAATGAATAAATAGTAAAAACAAAAATATTAGTCGAAAGACACATATAGAAAGGAAAACCGTTGATGTGTCCCTGTAGCACAATAGATAGCGCGTTGGACTTCTAATCTAAAGGTCGGGGGTTCGAATCCCACCTGGGCCGCGGTAGCCGAGTGGTATAGGTATCGGATCGTGGCTTGCATTGTCACGAGTTCGAACCCAGTACCACTAAAGACCCGCCGTGTAGGGCAGTGATGCACGTTAAATCTGTCGAGAGCTGAAACGTCCTCCCGTTGGTGTGGTGTGGTAGTTAGGAGAGTGGATGCAAGCTCAAGTGTCGTCCACGTCACTTGGCCATGGTTCAAAATTACGTGGTCCGTCGCCACAAAAGCCCTCGTGTAGCTGAACAGTGCGGCGTTAATATTCAATCAATCACTCAATCGAATCACACCTGATATAGCCTGATTTCTAAGGATGGTGTTATCTTTTTTACTGTACTATTTTATTATAATAAGCAAATTTAATTAATGAATATAAATAGTAAGAAAAAAATGTCCAATACCATATATAGAAAGGAAAACGGAAAATCGCTTCCTATTTTGTCATTTAATATTGTGATTCGGTCGTATACATATACATATTTATATTAATAGCAACTACTTTATGAAAAGTAGCTAAAATAAAAAATTTTCTTTGTAGACCTATGTATAAGAATTGACTTAATTTTTTTATATATTACTTGTTACTGTTGTTCATGTGAATTAGTTGCTTAAATATGAACGCTGATATAATTAAATAAAATCTCTAATTTTAAAGAATGGTATTTTTAAGTTCTCTATAAACAGTGTAAATATTTTTAATGAAATTTTTTGGTTTAATCATTTAAAAGTAATTTAGTGAAAGTTTGTTTAAGTATTATATAAAGGCTTATAATGTGCCAAAGTAAAATGCTTTTTAAATAATTTTAAAATAGTTTAACGGCAAGTATAATATATTTTAAAATAGTAAAATGTATAACAAAAAAATTTTAAAAATATTTAGACCACAATATAGAATTTTTAAATGAATTTTGTACAAATAAATGCCTACTTGATAAATATATAGTCGGAGATATATATATAGTATGAATATAGTCACATTACGTCATAACACTCAAACAACAACAAAAACTAAGATTTTGATTATTTATTTAGGAATATATGCGATTAATATACTTAATAGTTATTTATTGTGCATGTGTTATGTTGCAACGTGTCTTTTAAAGCTCCTTTGTAGTGGCAACTACACGTTTTCGATAAAAATTCATAGTTAGTATATGTTTCTAAGTATATGTAACTGTGTTTTTATTTCAAAATATATAAAAAAATAAATCATATCTTTTTTAACTCGAATACCTGTTTTAAAAAGGTTCATTCAATATTGAAAATACTTTTTTTACACAATTACTACTACAATATATTCGCTTTTATCCTATACTAATTAATTTATATATTTTTTCAAATTTAAATTCGTGTAAAATATTCCAAAGCATCAAAAACTCTAAATGCTTATGTTACATAATTTAGTGTACGTTTATTTGTAAACATTTTTACAATTTGGCTGTATACTGTGCTTGAAAATTTAATAATTTATAGCTTAAAAAAAAGACTATAGTATTTTGAATTACAAAAGTGATTGTAAATCAAGTAAAGTTATTTTGCTTTTAAAGAATAATAGAAAATAAAGAACTTGGGGCATATAAATTACTTTGTTCTTTTTTATTAAATCTAAATAAGTAATTATTACAAAGTAAATAAAAATATTAGAAAAGAGACCTTTACAGTAATTTTCTTAACCGATATTTAAACTTATATAAAAATTCTATAAAAAAAATTTTATAACTAGAAACAAAAATTCAATTACTATATTAAAACAAAATTAAGAGCCATGTAATAAAAAATCTCAATGCAAAAATTTTTACGTTAAATCAACATTCTTTAGTATAATTTATCTTCATTTGTAAAGACATTATAAATCTATCAAATTCACATTACAATGACATCAATTTAGTAATAATTTAATAGTAACATAATTAAATTACATTAATCGTCACTAAAATGGTAGTTATTAAACAAGGTATCTTATTTAAGCATACTTAAAAAATGTTAGACAAATATTATAAGTAATTAAATTAACAAATGTAGTGGTAATATATTTTGTTTTAAAAAAAATTTCAATAAACAAATTATAACGCCTTTTATTTAAAGAATCAATTTCATGTAGAAACTCCGGTTAATTAATCATGGAGGAAATCTTTTTTAAAAAATAAGATAGTGCTAAAACGAGAAAACTAAAACTTTTTCAGTTATATCTTCGTTTTATCAATTATAAAAGAAAGAGACAATTCTTCAATAAAACGGTGAAGTTTTTGAGACATTTGAAACCACTGAAAGTATTTTGCAAAAACATGTTGTGTAGGAGGTACGCTACATATTTTTCTAACTAATTAATTGATATAAATTCGCTTTATTTTTTTCACTCCGTATAAAATCCTTCTTATTCTTCTTTGTATAGTTATTAAAAATAATTTTATTACTATTTTTATTTTGATCGAAAAAGCACAAGGCAGCATTCCAAAAATTATACAATGAACTTCCAGAATGAAGTTTTAATTATTTTATTTACTCAATTCATTTACTTTTTTACTAAAAGGAATTAAACTTTTATAGAATAAATGCCTTTGATAATATCAGTGACATCGTTTTATTTTCTCATTCCTAAATTAAATTCCAGGATACTTGTAACCTTGAGCAGAGTAAGTTTTCGTTTAAAAAAAGGTAATTACCAAAAAGAATAACATTTTTATTCTGTTATTATTTATTTTTAATCCTGTTCGATAAACAAACAACCAAAATTTCTTTTTATAAAAATTGCAACTAACTTGATTAATTAGGTTGTAACCTTTCAAGTGTAAAATAATAACAAAGAATACCAAATCCTTTTTTTTAAAAAGGCATAATTTGTTTTGATTGCCTTTTTTGTAAAAGAATATTTACTTGTACTTTCAATAATTTAAGAGATCATAAAAGGAAAAAATTATTTGCATATAAAAATACTTTTATGAAGTAAAATCTTTTAGATTTTGGCGTATCGTAATTGAAAAAGGAAAAGCACATTCACATTTAACTCGAAAAGTGAAAAATGTTAATGAAATTAACACTATTAAAATTATGTGATATCGAAATGAAGGCTGCTAAAATCTTTCAAGTTTTTAAAATTATCTTGTAATCATCTGGTTAAAGCAGAAGTTCTCAAACTGCGGGGCACGCCCCCTAAGGGGTTTGTTAACCCTAGGTAAGGGGCACGAGCATATCCAAAAGTCAAAAACAAAAAATATTTTTAAAAAATTATTAATTTACTTAAAGGGAGCCAAACGAAATGCATACTGACATAATAAAAAATAAAACACAATTTACTCTGATGTAATACACTTATAAATGTATCAATACTGTACAATGTATTTGATTGTTATTTTAACAATTCTAAGTTAAGAACAAGTTTAATAATTATCAGTGACCCCATGGGCTTGCCATGTATAACATTCTATACAAAATTTAATACTTATCTTGTTAATTTGTACGGTTTATTTTTAAAGCTATACATAAAAGTAATCGTATATTATTATTCAATTCAATCCATTTTAAAGTATGAGGGGGACGATGAAAATGATGAATGAAAA